TTAGCCTTGAATCATGGTGCACTCAATATTCTCATATTCCTTCTATTTGAGATTTGGTTCTGCTAGCTCAACGGTTAAGCTAGAAAAACCCATTTTTTTTTTTTTAAAACACTGGCGAAAAAATTCGCACTAGGCTAGGATCAGAGCCTCAAATTAGCCTGAAATTATGGCATAATTAGGTTTGTGATTGAAGTTCTTTTGGTTTGCTACTTATTGGTTTGTCATGTTCATGTTGGATTTGGTAAATTTTTTGAAGAAAATTATTTTCCAAAAAATCGATAATAGGTTCAACGAAGAGCCTAAAATTAGCCTTAAATTATGGTGCACTCAATATTATTATATTCCTTCTATTTGAGATTTGGTTCTGCTAGCTTAACGGTTAAGCTAGCAAAACCCATGATTTTAAAAAAAAAACAGTGTGCGAAAAAATTCGCAATAAGCTAGGATCAGAGCCTTGAATTAGCCTGAAATTATGTAATAATTAGGTTTGTGATTGAAGTTTTTTTGGTTTGCTATTGGTTTGTCATGTTCATGTTGGATTTGGGAATTTTTTGCAGAAAATGATTTTTCAAAAAATCGATAATAGGTTCAACGAAGAGCCTAAAATTAGCCTTGAATTATGATGCACTCAATATTCTTATATTCCTTCTATTTGAGATTTGGTTCTGCTAGCTTAACGGTTAAGCTAGCAAAACCCATAATTTTTTTAAAAAAACAGTGTGCGAAAAAATTCGCAATAAGCTAGGATCAGAGCCTTGAATTAGCCTGAAATTATGACATAATTAGGTTTGTGATTGAAGTTTTTTGGTTTGCTATTGGTTTGTCACGAGGTTTGTCAAGTTCATGTTGGATTTGGGAATTTTTTGCAGAAAATGATTTTTCAAAAAGTCGATAATAGGTTCAACGAAGAGCCTAAAATTAGCCTTAAATTATGGTGCACTCAATATTCTTATATTCCTTCTATTTGAGATTTGGTTCTGCTAGCTTAACGGTTAAGCTAGCAAAACCCATGATTTTTTTTTAAAAACAGTGTGCGAAAAAATTCGCACTAGGCTAGGATCAGAGCCTCAAATTAGCCTGAAATTATGGCATAATTAGGTTTGTGATTGAAGTTTTTTTGGTTTGCTATTGGTTTGTCATGTTCATGTTGGATTTGGTAAATTTTTTGAAGAAAATGATTTTCCAAAAAATCGATAATAGGTTCAACGAAGAGCCTAAAATTAGCCTTAAATTATGGTGCACTCAATATTATTATATTTCTTCTATTTGAGATTTGGTTCTGCTAGCTTAACGGTTAAGCTAGCAAAACCCATGATTTTTTTAAAAAAACAGTGTGCGAAAAAATTCGCAATAAGCTAGGATCAGAGCCTTGAATTAGCCTGAAATTATGACATAATTAGGTTTGTGATTGAAGTTTTTTTGGTTTGCTATTGGTTTGTCATGTTCATGTTGGATTTGGGAATTTTTTGCAGAAAATGATTTTTCAAAAAATCGATAATAGGTTCAACGAAGAGCCTAAAATTAGCCTTAAATTATGGTGCACTCAATATTCTCATATTCCTTCTATTTGAGATTTGGTTCTGCTAGCTTAACGGTTAAGCTAGCAAAACCCATGATTGTTTTAAAAAACAATGTGCGAAAAAATTGGCAATAGGCTAGGATCAGAGCCTAAAATTAGCCCTAAATTATGGCATGATTAGTTTTGTGATTGAACTTTGTTTGGTTTGCTATTGGTTTGTCATGTTCACGCTTAATGGTTAAGCTAGCAAAACCCATGGTTTTTTTTTTCAATCAGTGTGCGAAAAAATTGGCAATAGGCTAGGATCAGAGCCTTAAATCAGTCTGAAATTATGGCATAATCAGGTTTGTGATTGAAGTTTTTTTTGGTTTGCTACTGGTTTGTCATGTTCATGTTGGATTTGGGAAATTTTTTGCAAAAAATGATTTGCAAAAAAATCGATAATAGGTTCAACGAAGAGCCTAAAATTAGCCTTAAATTATGGTGTACTCAATATTTTTATATTCCTTCTATTTGAGATTTGGTTCTGCTAGCTTAACGGTTAAGCTAGCAAAACCCATGATTTTTTTAAAAAAACAATGTGCGAAAAAATTGGCAATAGGCTAGGATTGGAGCCTAAAATTAGCCTTAAATTATGGCATAATTAGTTTTGTGATTGAACTTTTATTTACGAAGTGGTTCTGCTAGCTTAACGTTAAGCTAGCAGAACCCACGTTTTCTTACATAAATCGAAGAGCAATAAATTCGGCAATAGGGTAATAAATTAGCCTTAAATTAGCCTAAAATTATGGCCGAAGAAAAAATTGAAAAATTCGAAGTGGTTCTGCTAGCTTAATGGAGGTATCGTGTTTTTGTGTTTCTCATTCAAATCAGTGATTACAAAATCGCGATCGTGTGAGTTTTGGTGTTTCCTGCTGTGGAAAATAAAAAATTAACAATGAAATAGCAGAAGTGGACTATTTTTAACAAATTCATTTCGTTTTCACACTGGTGAGTGTTATTTTCATTATTTTATTATGAGTGATATACTGACACAAGTGATATACTGACACATAGTCATGGTATAACCTCATTTCTCCTTTCTTCTTCTAACTATATTCCTGAAATTTTAAAAATCGAATATTCTCACTAGAGGGCACCTTATTACTATTTAGGATTTCTTTTTCATCGTCCAGTTTCCCTGTTTTCACGATGAGCGTTAATTAAACGGATCTAAAATTTTGATTATATATATGAATTTACATGATCTACAGTGATCTACACGTCTAATATATTTTTAACGATGCGTCGTTGCCGCTTCTACTAGAAAGTAGCAGCAACTTCGAATTTTCAAATGGAACACCCTGGATCGCATTTTTATATTCTCCATGAAGATCTTATTTCATCAATGAATCACTCTTGGGGTCTAGCGGGGATGATTACAGAGATATAGAGTGTTCAAAATCGTGACACCTCAATTTTAGGATTCTTTTGTGACAAAACGGCTTCCATGTCCCTGTCTTAATTTTTAATTCACTATAACTACTGACATTTAATTGGAACAGATACAGGGTGATCGGAATTCTGAATCTTAAACCACCCAGTATTTTTTGCACAACTGTTTCCGTCTATGAGATACAGGGTGATTTTGAAAACTTATACTTTTCGGACCCCCTCTATATCTACGAAGTTTCTTAGCGATAATGTCGAATTTAAATCTCATCCCATAGAGAATTTAACGCAGAATCCAGTGGCGCGCAAATTTTTTTTTCGGGGTATGGTTTTGGAGATACGATTCAAACTTATAATTTTTCAAATGGAACACCCTGTATTTTATAAGCTCATTATATTCCCCATTTTTTCCACATCGAAATGAAATATAATGTATGAATATGAAATTTTTAAAAATACTCCCGATTGAGAGAGTTGATTAATAAATAAATTACAAAAATATATCGCATTCCAGTTACGAATGTTGAAAACAATATCCAGATTCTTCATTTCATGTTCGTCTCACGATACAAATTTCAAATTGATACTTAGTTTCAGGTCCGAGCAGCATAGTGTTGTCACGTTGAGTGGAAACGTGGATGAAGCCTACTGAGGAAACTTCTATTCAGAAACAAAACTTATATGTTGCAATCCAACTACGAACGTTGCAAAAATATTCAGGTGAGTTTCTAATTCAAAATCCATGTACAGCATCTAATAATTATCATTTATGATTCATCGAGTGATTCATATGATTCGATATTTGATATGTGATGTGCAGATGCAGATCAGAGAAGAACAGTGTTTGATACTTGGTACAAAATCCGAGAAAGCCATCCAGTCAAGCCGAACCGAAGGAACGATCCACGAAGAAGAATGACCAGAGTAAACTTTTTTAAATTCAGATCACCATGCTCGTACGGAAGGCGATATATTGATTTTTTTTCAGATTCTCAAGAAAACAGATAAGACAGATATTCAGCTTTATGTCTCTATGGAAACACGACAGGTACCCTTACGAGGGGAGAGTATCAACTTTGCGTTCATAAACCCTCTCTGCAAAGGAGGTAGACGCTAGATGGGTTAGGTATATACAGTGTTTTTCATCGCAGAGAAAATTGTTGCTTATCTGCCTGCCTCGAGTGCCTCGTATTCATTGAGATAGTTGATTAATTGATAAATTACGAAAATATATCGCATTCCAGTTACGAATGTTGAAAACAATATGCAGACTCTTCATTCCATGTTCGTCTCACGATTCAAATTTCAAATTGATATTTAGTTTTAGATCCGAGCAGCACAGTGTTTGGCATTCCAGGTCTTGATTATAACCCACGTAATGTGGAGAATGTTAATAAAGTCTACTGAGGAAACTCCTATTGGGAAACAAAACTTATATGTTGCAATCCAACTACGAACGTTGCAAAAAATATTCAGGTAAGTTTCTATTTCAACATCCAACAATAATCATTTTTGATTCATATGATTCGATATTTGATATGTGATCTTTAGTTGCAGATCCGAGAAGCACAGTGTTTAGTATTTGACACAAAATCCGAGAAAACCATCTAGTCAAGCCGAATCGAAGAAACGATTCACAAAAAAATGACCAGAGTATACAACTCTGATATTCATATCACCATGTTCGTACGGAAGGCGATATATTGATTCTTTCTCCAGATTCTCAAGCAAACAGATAGACAGATAATCACCTTTATGTCTATGGCAATTCAGTTATTGAAATACAAAAAATACTTATTTTGGAGGTAATTTGGGCCAATCTGAATATTTTTAGGATAATTTGAGTATATTATTCCCTCGATTATTCCCAAGATTATTCCAGTGTACATTTTAATATTTAAATAGGCAAATTCGAGGGCAAATTTTAGATTTAAAGAGGAAATCGAAGGGAAATACGGGAATTTTCCGGAAATTGCAGGAATTTTTGACAATGTGAAATTTAAGGGATATATTATATCCTCAAAATTATTGATTTCCTTCCTGTTTCCACTCAGTGGAATGCGAGGTGTAATGCCAAGGAGAGGTTGGCCAGGTAAATATCCCTCCCTGGGTCGCTCCAGATGCCCCTGGAATACGAGTGGAAATACCTTGGGAAATACCTCGGGAAATACCGAGGGAAATACCTAGTACAGGGAGCTCTGAAGTCCGAAATAGATGAAGTCCTGAAAAACCGAGTGAAAATCGGTTAAACATAAATGAAAACCTCGATGAAAAAAATGTGTTTCTCGTCGGAGGTCTCGCCTTCAATAGCCAAAATGACCCTGTGGATTTTTATTGTATCTTTTAACGTCTTTTAAGCAGCAGGAACGCTTAAGGTCTGTTCGTTTGTGTTGCTAAACTTGCTAAAGTTGATTTTGTTCCCATAGTTGTATCTGTTCATGGCATATTGTAAACAGAGAAAGTCATAAAAGAAAAAAAGTTCAGCAGGAACAGTAACAGGCCTCAAGTGAATCACAAGGAGAATCATTTATTAATTAACCTCGGAATCACCTCCCAGTAGAGAAGAAGTAATAAGTCGAGAAGTAAGTATACCTACCTACCTACCTACCTACTCCATTTTGGACCGAGTCTGGACTATAGTCTGGAGCATTATCCTGTAGAGAAAAGCTTCTAATTCATCAAAATACAATCCAGATAGAGACATAGGAAATCATGAGGGAAATCACTGGATAACCTGGGATTACCTATGAATCGCTATTCTGTACTGCAGGAGATACCTACTGTATAAACAATATAAACATACATTGATATTGATAGACTTATCTACCCACCCATTATTTAAACAATTCAATTGAAAAACTGACAATATTTGAGGATAAGTATAGATAATGTTAATAGATTAAGTAGGATTTGTTAATGTGTAGAAGAAAAATATTATGTACCTATGTTATTAATTAAAGCACATTGAAGCAGCATGTAAATTTGTACAACCAGTGTCAGTGAATTACTCTATTTACCCATGGATTGGAACTCGGATTGAATTTTTATATTGATGACGGTGATCTGTCATTGGAGGGTGATTGACCTCGTTACCTACCTGGGGTCGGGTAGAACGATCTTCTTGCTAGCTCTCGCAGCCGGGGTGCACTTGCTTTTTTCCATAGCCATGAGATAGCTGACATCAGCTAGTACAGCTTCCAGGTCCGCCATTTTGCAGTTTCACTTCACTTTTCTGCTCAAATATACATTATAATTTCCACCCTACACTTCACCAACAACAATCACACCCGCCACTATAATATCGAGACAGCTGGAAAGTGACATGATAAACAAACGAAAGTCAACAAGTTTACATCAGAATTCTTGAAGCTCCGACCCTGGATCATGAAGAATTTTGACGTTTATTCGATACGGAGTTCACGAAAATTGAACACCGACTGATTTTGATGGTGAACTCACGGATTGCAGGGCGGCGCAATGCGCAGTTCGATTAAATTCACACACTTTGAGGAAAACAGCTGATTTCGTCGCAGACAGCCAGACAGCTGATTATTCTGCTACCAACAAAACGGACACCTCCAATTGACAATCGACAGGTGAATTCCCAAAATCCTTATGTCTATTGCCACGTCGCCGTGCCGCCGTCGATCAAGGCCGCCGATGACAAAATCCAATGTCAGTAGCGGGGGAAAATAAATTTCGAAATAGTGCCTCAGAAGGGGATCCGTTGAAATCGTTCAGTTACCTTTATAAGATAATTGGAATATGACTGAGTTATTGTCATATACTGGGTGTCACCAAAATTGGGGCGATCAATGAAATGGATTTTAGGAGACGAAAAAACATAACGAAATGAAAGAATACATTTTTGTCGAAAAAGAATATTTTGGAAGATATTTTGAGCTTCAGCGTCTGACTAAAATTTGTACAGTAATTAATCAGAGGTTAATAGCCCAACGCAAGCGTTTACTTTCGGCGAGATCACAAGCACCAGAAGTATCAATGACTTTTGCAATGTTGCCGGACGTTGGAGGCGCACATTTTTGAACGCCCCAATTTCGGAAAAACCATGTATTTCTGGACGATTTTCTCAAATTACGTTTTCATCCCTATCAACGAAAATCAATATAAGATAAAAAAAAACAAGATCTAATAACAACATTGTTCTGAGTTCACTGAAATAAAACTACTCTCAGCACTCATCAGGTTAATAAACAAAGAAATGATCCACTGCAAAATTTGAAATCTCTGTGTTTTAAACTTTTAGTCCACGCCCTTACTATACAGTGCGGAAATCTATGGTGGAATAAAATCCGTATTCCCATTACAAAGATGTATCTTAAAAATACTCGGAAAAGTCGATTTTCATTTTGGAAGACGTTTTTTTTATCGCTTGGAGCGTCACGAAAGGAAATCCCTATAATGTTCAAAGAACATCGTGCATTCTCAGGGAGGATAGGGACAGGAGGTAGGTATTGGAATTTTTTTAAACATAAAATTTTCTAACTGCTTGTCAACATTCTACCTTACAAATCAACCTCTTCAGAATTTTCAAATTGTAAAAGCGTAAAGTTACACCTTATTAGGAAGGTACCTATTTCTAATCACTATGAATGAATGAAAATTTATCGAAATTTGTTTCTACATTTTTGGTAATTGTGTAACTATGGTATAATTAACCGGCAGGTAGAGACAGATTTTCGGATGTGATTTCACCCAGTATGCATTTTGCAGGGTATCGATATGTACGTATATACAGGGTGGGGCATAGGAGCAAAGTGTTTTTGGTTTGGGTAGTACTTGGCCATTAGAAAAGGGCAAGGGCGCGGTTTATTACAATCCATTCCTCCACTCCAAGCATTGAAGCATTTCACTTTCTCAGTTGCCCCTTGCTATCATGGAGAGGTGGACGCTAGAGCAACGCGTGTTCGTTATCGTTATGCCCCGTGTTTTAGAAGTATCCAAAAAACCACTGACTGCAGAATTCACTGAGAAACAAGTGGAAAAAAGACTTGCTATTTTCCTGACCAAAGCTTCTGAGAGGTGCAATAAAATACTCTAAAAGTAAGTTATTGTACAGGGTGGGGCATAGGAATCAATAGATAAACCGATTCATGATGGCAAGTGGCAACTGTTAAAAGGAAATGATTCGAGTCGAGGAATGGATTGTAATAAACCGCGCGCCCCGATATAATGGCTTATTGTATCCTATGCCCCACTGTATTTTGATGTTGAAAAATGATACATGAAATAATCCTACCGGGTTTTCCAAGGTTGTCGATATGGAGGGTAATATGGGTAAATATCACCCTCTCCCCAAAATAGCTATATGTGGCCAAATGCCCGGTGGGCCGGTATCAAATCGGGGCTGGGGGCCGCGGTAAATAATTTCACAAGGCACTGATTCATTCGAATGTCGTTTCCAACAGCTTTGAATTTATTCATACCATTCATAGTTTTTCAGTCAAGTATTACGTTATTACCCAGATAACACTAACCATCGGCCCAAAGCCCAACCCTTCGACACAGTTAAAAGAATACAAATATACAAATTCTTTTAACGGTGCCTTCGAGGTGCCCAGGCGGCGGCGAACCGGCCCTAATAAATATTATCGGCGATTAAATTATTGACTTGAAGAAGTGCTACAGCGGCAACAAATTTCAATGCACCATATTGATGGAAGCGCTCAGCCACCAACGTATATGCGCTTGCAAATCCATTTCAAGGAGGGTGCTTCAGATTAAATTTATTATTAATCTGAAGTAGAAATGGAGAGAGTATTTTATTTTTGAATTTTGAAATTGGCAAAGTATCCACACAACTTGTGGTTACTTTACCATGTGATGTAAGTATATAAGAATGGATTTTCGGCAAAGTTCATTCTTCAGATGAGATAATTTGCCATCTATCCATGAGTATATAACAGAGATTTCAAAACCAGGAAGAAACAAACACAAAATTTTGATAAAAATGCGTTTTAATGTGTCTAACATATGATGAACCCCATATCTAGTCTCCAGCTGCAACAAAATTAATAATTAATTCAATAATTATTGAAATTGAGTTCTCGAATCGAAAAATAAAAAACAGAATGGAAAAAAATCAGTGGAACTTAGAGGAGTGAAGGGGCACCCATATTCAGCACACAGGCAAAGATGACGTCCAGAATAGGAGTTTAAGCTCTCTCTCATCTATCAACTCAGCTCAGTTGGTACCATATATTCACCAGTATGACGTTGGTGTACCTTTTATCTAATGTTCTGCGTTGTATCCTTGGTATATTATGAATAATTTTGACGCTCTGTCACATGAAATGCCTTTTTTATGGCATTAACAGTCTGTTCTAATGATTCAGGAGTGTAATCACATAATAACGACTCCTTAGTACTTAGTACTCCCTAAATATGTTACATACCTACAAATCATAACATAAATGTATGGCAAAAGTAACCCAGAAATTGAAACAAATATTTCATGGAACTTTGCCAACCCCAAAAATTCGTCAAATCATCGATATGATGTTTTGGAAACCTGTAAGAATATCGATAATGAGCGTGTCAAGATCACTACTATGAAGATATTGAAATCAAACATTCCAGAAGATTCTTACGGAACCAACTGTCGCACGTACGGCACGTACACCGAAAATCATATTTTGCTATAACTTCGGAAGTCGGAAGCGTCAATATAGGCACATCGAAATACAACAGTTGGTAACGAGATTACAAAATCATTAGTGTCAGTTGTCAGCCGACTGTCAGTGTCAGAACTGTCGGACGTCACTTGTTGAATAATAAAAATGGCTGCTGTTGTTGACAACTCGATAAATTTTAGCAATATTTCTTCAAAAATTGGAAATCTACTTTTTGGGCGAACTGAAGGAGATAGAAAAAATCTCAGTAAATATCTAGACGAATTAAATTCTATTAACTATAGATATCCAGTTGTATCCAATCAAACGGTGAGTTCTCGTTTGTAAACAGTTTTTTTTTCATTTTGAAATTTGTTTACTTTTTTTTTAGAAAGCTATACTTCTAGTAAATCAGTGCTGTAGCTTCATTCCAACAGACGATGAAGTTTTGTTACAAAAATGCAGCCAGTTACTATGTAATTTGGTTAACAGGCAAAATATACCAATTGAAGGAAGAACACTGACTGTTGCAATCAACTGGTGTATGAATGGACTCCGAACAAAGAATCAAAGTGTTTTATTAGACGTTTTGAAAGCTCTGGAAGCTTTACTCAGAATTAATGTTAAAAACTTGAGAGTGGTACAGTAATTAACAAGATGATCTGAACTATAATGTAATGGTAACCTAGGTAATTTCAGCTCTCTGGTAATGTAATTAAAGAACTAAAGGGACTCATCACATTTGAGGATGAACATTACCTACCAGAAGTTAATTTATTGGTTCTACAATGTCTTGAGGCATGCACAACAATAACAAATGAAATTGAAACTGAATATCAAGAACAATTGGAAATATGTTCACAGATTTTTATGAATCAATTGCATGCAAAACACAATTATAGTGAAAATCTTGTTTCTACAAAGGTAATGATGAACTCCAGTAAACTACTACCTCAGTATCAATTTTTGCAGTACTTGTTTCATCTAGTTATATCCCATTGTAGATTTTAATGATTTCATATCACCCATCAATGATTTTAGTATATTTCATTGGAGTTTTAATTTTTATCTGTCCAACATTAATGGAGGATTCTTTCCTTATTTCAGATACTACAAATTAGTATTTTTGGACTCCAAAATGTAGTTATTCAACATCCTGAATTTTTGAAAAGTGAACTAGGTACCCTTTTGGGTGTCATCAAAACATTCATGTTGTATGGCATGAAGGGTATAGATTTTTTGGTACCCTCAAAAGTGTTGCCATCAACACTTAGTATTCCAGAGCCACCAATTATTGTAAGGGAGAAAAAAGGAGGAAAGGTAAATATTACCATCTAGAACCCAAGATGAAAATACAATATATATATTTGTATGTGTTGCTGAACCTACAGAAGTTGATTGTTTTATATAGTTATAGAAAATCAAGTAGAAAATAAATAGAGTTTAGCAGGTTGAGCAAACAAAAACTATGACAGAAAATGATGAATGAAAAATGTGAGAAAAAGGTCATTATTATTGGTGGGACCAATTGAATATTATAAGATGCCATTGAAAAACAATATTCAAATCTTTAAAAATATATTATGTTCCCTAATTGCTGAATATATTTAAACAAAGGGTATGCCCTTGGTTAGTCCAAAAACTACCAACTTGTTGTTTTATGGATGCATGACCTTGAATAGCATTAAGGATTGAAAATAACTTGCTCCACCTGATGGCAATAACTTGAACACTTCTGAACAGTTTTTATTAAGGATCTGATCAGTGACAGACCACTTCCATAGCTTTTAAAAATCCCACCATGTGGCACAAGCTTATTTCCTATTGTGATTGCTCCACATATATTTTATCAAAGTAAAGATGTGGATATTTTCTATCAAAGCTGTGTGAATAATAATCTATAATGAACATACTTGCCATAATCAAGTTTAGACAGATTAGTTTGGAATGGTTTGGACAAAGGTTTGGACTAGAGCACCTTGAAAGAGGACTGCCATACAGGACACCAGTCACAGTTTCTTGTAATTAACTCAACCTTTTTCACCCGGCAATAACTCTCAATTTATAGGTTTGAATCCAGGTTATCAAAAATATTACATGAAATGATTCCAATAGGTATAAAACATTTCTTTTGCTCAAAGGAGGTGTATTTGAGGAAACTTGGGTAAAATTGCACTTATCATGTGATTGTTTTTTTTTTGAAAATGTATGTTGGTACTTATGTATTTTTGTCTGAAAAACATGAATTTGATAATGAAAATGTGAACAAACCACTATATTTATCCAGATATTCCAAGAATAAGTTCGAAATTTTGCCTTCTTTTTCCCCTTGTGTTGGATGCATTTACAGCTACTTGCTCTTCTTATTTTGTCATTGGGCACTTTATATGTATACTCTATATTTATAAAGGAGTTTCAGAGTACAACAAAATACCATTGAATATAAAAATTGAAGGTGTCAAAAAATTCAAAGCATTGTTGAAGGCTCACATTCCACTGAAGTTATGATTTGTACAGTTGGCATTAAGAGATTAGGAGGTTGGATTTAAAAGAAAAACAATTAGATACTTATATATAGCATGTCTAATTATCATGTCGGATATGATGTAATTTATAAGTAACTAGGTGTTCCTAGATGAAATTTTTATGTTTTTTGGAACGTAATAAATTCATTCATTCATTCTTTCATTCATACTCTGAAGTACTTCAATGACACATTTTTGTATAGAAAATTCAACAGGAAATATTATGATTTTTATGGCGCGTTTTTCATATTTAGTGAACAATCATACCAGATGACGGCCATTTAATCAATAGTCAATCCAAATACCAGATGTCAAATGTCAAGAGATGACAACACACATGCCATTATTTTGAATGATATTCTTCCTTCTTTTCACTAAATATGGATAAATTTCAAGAAAATCATATTTCTAGCTGACTCATATTATAGAAAAAAATGTGTCATTGAAGTACATTGTGATATATAAATTTATCCAATGATGAAGAAGGGCAAATGGTTCTAAATGCGATCCAAAAGACAGGTGGAAAGAAGGTGAAATTTGTAACTTTATAGTAAAATATCCCAATAAATAATAGTTTGTTCACATTTTCATTATTAAATTTGTGTTTTTCAGATGAAAATACGTAAGTACCAAAATTAATTTTCAAATAAAAACTAGAGTTCCTAAATGTACTTGACACTGCTGTTTTGACGTTTTTTGTATATTAGAGTACGGACACTAGACAAGCAGTGACAATCAAACATAACCACAAACGATTTTGAAGCAAATCATATGTTTTGCCAGACAAGGACAAGAATATGTTTTTCGCTTAGATAAAGGATCCTCGCATCTTCCTTCCTCCACTAGTCCTGGGAAGAGTACATTCATATATCTTTCTCTGTCTTTGATCTTTGTATGAGAGTGCATAGCGTCTCCTCGAGTGGGTAAAAGGGTACGATAAATTGATTAGAAAATTATTTCATTTCGAAATATTGAATGATAAGGCGGAAGGACCTCAATGGAGGTCGATATATATCAAGTTGGTATGTACATATATACCAACGAAATACATATACTATTCCTATGAAATAAGTATCTCATATGTAGGTATATATACGTTCAGTTGAATATTTTTTTATCACAAAAGTTCAGAATGGGGTGAAAACTGATAAATTTCAACCAATGAAACATACTTTTATTTCATATGGAACAATTTCACTTGTACAAGAGTGGTAGGTAATAAGTAATTAATAAATGAACAAATGATGTGGCAACAATAACAGCTATAGATCGCCGTTCACATTGCTATTTTCTTCTTCTATTTGTTTCCTGAATTCCTCACTCTCTTCCATGCGTAAACCTTGGATTTTTGAATATACCTGCTCTAAAAATTCGATTCTCAAGTCTTTCAAATATGTTCGAAATGAATTTCATTTTCTGCAAGTTTTTCGTTTCTTGTTGGTTCTAAATTGGAACAAGGTTCTTTTCGATACTCGCTCAGTTTATACATTGTGGGCTTGGCTCTTTCTCTCAATACGATCCTATTCTTCAACATCAAATCTTTCGTTCTGAAGTGTACCTGATAAAAATGCCGCATCCTATTCTGTTTCCATTTTTGTAGAATTACGTTATCCGATGGAAATTCGAAAAGAGTGAATTAATTTCCCGTGTTCTCATAGTTGGATACTGCACAAACTTGCATCTTTCTCTTAATTCTCTCAATTTGTCAAACCTTTGAAATTTATGTCATGTACGTCCGTGTACTGTCTGTTCTCGCTTTTTCCATAAATTTATTTATGGTTATGTCTGATTGTCAGTGCTTGTCTTACTGTCCGTACTCTAATTCGCGAGATTCACGAAGTGGGCGACATCTAGGTTACATAATACGAACTTCAAACTGGGGTAAAACAAACTGTTGTCTATGGATAAAGTGCATAGACTACATTGCATTCAGCTTGCTGTAGCTATAGTCAAACTTGTCAATGACATAAAGTGTTGGCACTGTTGGTAGTGATGATGGTTGAGTTGGTTAAGTTTTTTACATTATTACATTTTTATTAGTTTAGTGAACAGTGAACGGATGAAGAATTGGAGATAGTTCAAACAATTCAAACTAATTATGACGAGCAAATCAATCGATATATAAAAGAACAGCTACAACATGTTTACAATACCCAGATTGTCCTGCTTTGCAGTAACAAATACAAATCCATTGTTCTACAGGAGTTCCTCTGGACCCCAACTTCAATTTTACTTCATGTGGGGAAGATTTCATCGCCGAAGTTTGTAGACAAAGTGCAAAAATGTGCCTTTTGTTGAAGTCTTCTGCCTCACACAAAATCACATGATTAGCACAAAGAACTGCTTCTCCTCTCACTACTTGTCGGCTTTTTCCATCTAAATAGAGCAAAATATCTGCCAAAAGAACATCTACAACAGGCATTATTAACCTTTTTCGATGGAATATTGACAATTCATGTCAAGAAATTCAAAAACATCACTCTTATTAGTAGACAGTACACAAGCTAATGGCACTAATGGGATTGAGTGAGGATTGAGTTTGTTTTCCCCCACCTGGTAACATTAGCTGCGTTCGGTTTAACAAAATCGGAGCCGAGCGAGCAGATGCAGATTTGGTGTCACGTGATCACCTAGCAGATAGAGCTAATGGTATTTAACGAACGCTCAACGAGGTAGTAGATTGCGAGCGCCAGCTGTCAGAAGTAACAGAAAACAGAAACAATTCACTTAACCTTATTACTTTTAAAAACACGTCAGGGCAACAAAGTTCTTTTGAATGTTTGTTATTTATATTTTGAAAATTACTAGGGAAGGAATGATTCTGTCTCATATGATCGGTCATTAACTGTGGATCCAGGGCAGTTGTGATCGCATATATTACAGATATATAATTAATATGCTACCTACAGCAAATTCGTCGGTCATTCTGGCGATTCTGGGCAAGGAGGATTCTACAAAATTCAGTTTCGTATTTCGTTTTCAGTTGATCGAGTCTCCAATTTTTCGACATAAAAGAGATATAATTTCAATAACATGTTGACATTGATTTGTTGACAATTGACAACCGAATAACCGATCAAATCTGAATGATCTGCTCCTCAAGGCGGAGCAAACAGATTACATCTTTCAGCTCGCTCTGACAATTAACGAACACGGAGCAGATTAGACAGAGGAAGTAGATCTGATTTATCGAACGCTTTCCGAGCTAACAGATGGAATCGAGCTAACAGATATGTTATAACCGAACGCACCTAATATTCCCGCGAATATACAAAAAACGTCAAAACAGCAGTGTCAAGTACATTTAGGAACTCAAATAAAAACCAGTCACATGATAAGTGCTGTTCTACCCAAACTTGTTTATAAGGAAGAAAGTCTTATTTTGACTCAAAAATATACCCTTAACATCTTGAGGTTTTGAAAACCCTGTAATATCTCAATATTTCTTAGGAAATGATATTTTATTGGATGTTTTTAGCTTACTAAACAAAGAAAGCACAGGTCTTCTGGAGTTAATAAGAAAGAGCAACGTCATTCTGATGATTTTGTATTTGATAATAGAAATGTGGGATATACCCGAGGATATACCCCTGCAAATACTGGTTTGGAAATCAATTTGGAGGCTGGAGAAAAGTGAGTTATCACCTTTCCTGAAAACTGCTGGTCAATTGAAGTGGATGATTTATAAATTAAATTTTAAAACACATCAACCACTGAATGATGAATTCGTTTAGATTTCCAATTATATACAGGGTGTCTATAAGTTGGGCGGATTTGAAAATTTTGTGGCATACTACTGTTGATTGGGACAATTTGGCTGAAATATGTTCAAGATGAAGGAATTTCCTGTTCAACCGGAAGTTGCATCAACTTCGTTTCTTGGAATGGAATTGTATGTTATTGCATTTTCAAATTCTCTCTGAATTCAGATTCAGAATTCTGATCATCCTGTATCTGTTCCAATTAAATGTCACTAGATATTAAATCAAAAGTGAAGATAGGAACATGTAAGCCGTTTTGACCGTTAATGAATAGTTTGAACAAAAAAAAAATCATGAAGTTGAAAGATCTCGATTTTGAACACTCTATACCTCTGTAATCATTCCCACTAGACCCAAAGTGAGATATATTGATGAAATCAGCTCTTCAGTTAAAATCTAAAAATGCTAATGTACAGGGTGTTCCATTTAAAAGATGCCACCAAATTTTCAAATCCGCCCAACGTATAGATTTCCATATATTGATCGGTTCCTTTTCCAGAGAGAAACCCCGTATATCCCAGTAAATGTCAGAACATTTTTGCCTCTAATTTTTCCTGGTGGATATAGGCTCATGATTGTGATGTTCCTTTTTGCATAGAGATTTTGTTATTTTGATCAAAATACCATATCTTGAATTGTTTTCCGCTTTCTCTTAATAACACGTTTTTTTTGCTAATGTCACATTCAGGTAGACTTTGTCGAAAATAATCGATCATCTAGTTGATAGAACAGTTTTCAGCTGATTGGTCTATTTTTCCATGTTCATTTCAGCTCAACAGGTACAGAAAATAGGTTGAAAACAAGTGATTCTGATTTCTCTGACACAGAATCTGGTGCAATTGGAAAAATTGTTCAGATGCAAGGAAGAGTGAGACAGGCAGCACTCAATTTATTCTACAATGTGGTCAAGGTAGGTAAAAATAATAAGGTTGTGCCTTTTGCACGGAAGTTTAGTTAATGATGGTAAATGTTATTTATATACACCGTGTCCCAGCTAGAATGTCCCCCCCTGTAAAAAATCAACCGCGCGATCGAATGACTTGAAATTTGGTCACCCAGTATATTTGATGATGCTCACTCGAAATATGCTATTGAATAAATTGTAGGTATACAGGGTCACACCAAAGTGCACCTAAACTTTCCTATTTGAATAGGGACACCCAGTATATTATTCCATATTCAAGTAGAGTTCATTATTACAAATTCAACAATGCCGGGTTTGATGGGATTTTTTTCAAACGACTATGAAGATATGGCAAAAAATAAAACTGAGCATATAAATATCGTGAGTAGTGAAGCTTTTCGAATGCTAGGGTTTCTTAAACGTTCAACATGTGAAATCAGGAATATTGAATCGATCAAATTGCTTTATTACTATTTAGTTCGCAGCCGTCTTGAATTTGCATCAATAATTTGGGATCCACATGTTCAGGTCTTGAAAAGAAATTTTGAATCTGTGCAGAATAAATTCTTGAAATATCTGTACTACTGTCAACACAAAGTGAATCCAAGGTTCGAATCTTACCAACCAATACGTGATGAGTTTAAAATACAACATTTAGAGCACAGAAGAACTATTAATAAAATGGAATTTATACACAAAATATTGAATAGATCGATAGAGATCGAGTACCTTTTAGGTCAAATAAATATTCTAGTACTCTTAAGAACACTTCGTCCCAGACCCATACTCTTTCATGTTTCGATGACAAGTGGCTCTTTAATGAACAGTATTCTCCAAATCTGTAATAAGTATGTTGACAGAATGAATAGTTGTTTTTTTGATACCAAATTAGCCAAGTTTCGGAAGAATTTGTTGCATTTATTGTAATTAAAATCAATACCTGTATTCTCTAAGGATCTTACAACTTAACCCATCAGCTCAATTTTTGCTCTATAATTGATTATTGCTATTAGATCTAAGTGGAAGTTAGGTTAGATTAGTTTAGGTTAGAAAACTTGTAAGTAGGTGTAAGCCTGTTAGTTATCTATAAATAAATAAATAAATAAATACTCTACTATAGAAGATCTACTACCACGTATAACATTTATAATCTCGTTGTGGTGTTCTTGATCTAGATTTAGGTATGGTTTTATAGAATTTTGATTGCTATGACCAGTAATTTTCAGCAATTGTTGTTCTCCTACACCACTTTTTGCTAATTCGCTTACAGCAGTTGATCTATTCGAGTGATTTGTTATCTTTTTGTCCTTCACATTCAAGCCAATTGCCTCAGCAGCAGATTTAGTCCATCCATTTATTGCATTTCTTCCAACAGGTATATTCGTCAGTTTCATTTTTCCAGTGTCTATTTGGTTTCAAGAACAGTCGTGTTGGGGTAATATTGTCGCCACTTTTTGATATCAGTTTATGGAAAAGACGTACTGGGCAGTTTCGTATTTCACTATTGGAAACCAACCATTTAATACTAGTACAGATTTTGGAACCTTCTTGGCACGTTTTACTGAACACCGGATTGTATTCAATGCGATTTATTGGAGTCATCGTTATTTTTCTCGATTTGAAAGAAATCCACCAGACAATCAACTGTCTCTCCTCCTCGCCACGCTAATTCTAAAGCAGTAATATGGTAAAATTTACGCATGAGACCTTCAGGAGTATTTTCATCCCATAGCAATACTATTTTGTTAACTTCAGACAAATTTAACGGAACTGAACTGGACTTACGTTTACATGGATCTGCTTGTAGTTTCTTCCTGATTGCATCGCGGGCATACCGGGCTGGATTAAATACTATATTGTTGAAGGGGCAATCATAATATTATAGTCATTATAATACTTTTCTTGCAAAAGTTTGCACGAAACGTTCCACATTGTCTTCACCGTCGCTTCTTTATATTCGGTCCCATCTTTCTTTCTCATATTGACTGCCCAATCTTTTAGTATCAACGCCAATTCTTCTAAGCTTCTATGTTCATTTAATTCATATTCTCGTTCGCAGCAAAGTTTCATGAACATTCCCCAAATATATTTGTGGCTTTTGGTTGAATTTTTGGGAATTTTTCCTTTGATTGGCGCATTTATACTTTGAACATTCGCATTGCCAAAGCGTGACATTTTGAAATTTATTTGAAATGAAGTTGTCAAACTCAATTGAAGACATGAGAATGATGAGTGGATAAGCGCCAAAAGTAAATTTCCGAGAAAATCAAGAAAAACGTGTGGAAATTAGAGAATTTCATTCTTGGTATTCTTTCGCGATATGGTATATTGATCAACTAGTTTGAAATAAGTCGGAGAAGGAGAAATTGAAAAAAAGTCGAAAATTATATCAAATTTTGGAAAAAACTGTTTTACACTTATCCACTTCTCATTCTCATTTTGTCGAAAAGGGGGAAATAATGCATTCTGAATACAAAAACTCAGTTTATCAGCAGAACATTACATGAAAAGACAACTGGGTTCAAATTGGAACCTAAAAAAAAATAACAACTCCTTATTCCACCTCTGGATCACCAGAATCTGACTCCTCTGATATTTCTACTGATGGCACTGTTCCTGGTATGCTGATGGAATATACTTTCTTAAGTCGATGATATTCTGTATTTCATTTGGATTGAGTGGTATTGGATTATCTGATAAATGTGGCAGAGTTTTATATTCGAATGATTCTAAATCAACGCCATTCTTTAGATCAACAAATGTTTGAGTTGCTATACAGTTTTGATTTTCTGAAACTGTAATCTTATCCCCCAGTATTCTTGAATCTGTTACATTTTGAGATTTCTTTATTTCGCAAAGTCTTCTTGAAATAGTTATCTATCAACTACCTGAAATTTTTTTGAGGCATTTGCAACAAGTGAACACCATTCTTCTGGAATGAGAAGGTATTCTCTTTTTCTTTTGGGTATTTCAATTTGTCCGAAAGAACGGTCACAAGGCAAACATGAATGTCCACGTTCAGGAAAACAATGAATTATCTCATGAAATCTTTCGGATTTGAGTATGATAACTGATGTATAAGTGTGGGTTATCCGCTTCTCATGGCAACGGCATTGCAATGGTCAGTTCAGATGTAAAAGCGGATCAAGGTTGGTAGAACTGATTATAATTTGTATAGGAAGGTTGCCTCGATCGATAGTGCGGCAAGGGGGGAAACGGTCACTCGTGACGTCACAGGCAGTAAGACGACAAGTTGTCAACCTTAAAGCGACATGTCATGAAATGTTTACCAAATAGAGTATACAAACATGGTCTGCTCAGCATATTTATATTAATTTATAGTACCTATATAATTATAAGTAAGTACCATTATAAAATATGGATATTTACATATACTTCTGTATAATACCTTCAATCTTCGAAATGAGAAGGCAATTTTGGATGGATCAGTAGTACAGAGAGGAATACCTATCTGAAATTTTGTTCCAGGGGCTATTTACCAGGTCGTGGTACCAGGTATGTGTGTTTTGAGGTATGGAGCATAATTATGGAGCTAGTGATTACTTATGCATTGATTATGAACCTACTCATCCTATAAATATCCTGCAAATCAGATAATGTGAACAAGAAACTACAGAAAATATAAGAATAATCAACTGATGATCCAGAAGTAGTAGCAGTGGACCAATATTCATACACAACAGATCACTTATTTTATCAATATAACTCTGTATTCTGGAAAATTAACAAACTTTCCTAGATACCTATAAAAAATACAAGAGGAAATAGTATTTCATTGTTTGATTATATTGTAGTCAAAAACAGAGCAATTGATCGAAGTATTTGAGCATAAAAAAATAACAAAATATGATTCTGAACAAAAATTAATGAAAAATAACACTACTATTATAAGTGAACCTTTAATAAAGGATAGGGTAAAAGTGCACTTATCATGCGATGGGGTTTTTTTTCGAAAATTTTTTTTGGTACTTACGTATTTTCGTCTGAAAAACACGAATTTCATAATGAAAATGTGAACAAACCACTATTTATCGAGATATTTCAAGAAAAAGTTCGAAATTTTGCCTTCTTTTCCCCCTTGTGTTGGATGCATTTACAGGTACTTGATCTTATTATTTTGTCATTGGACACTTTATATACTCATGATGTACTTCACTGACACATTTTAAGATAAAAAATTCAACAGGAAATATGATTTTTATGGCGAGTTTTTCCTATTTAGTGAGCAAGCATACCAGATGACGGCCATTTAATCCATATGCAATCCAAATAAGAGATGTCAAATGTCAATAGATTGCTTTGGAATGACATTACACACGCCATTATTTCAAATGATATTCTTCCTTCTTTTCACTAAACATGGATAAATCACAAGAAAATCATATTTCTAGTTGACTCATATAATAAAAAAAATGTGTCCAACATTGTGTGATATATATAAATTGTCCAATGATGGAAAAAGAAGGGCAACTAGTTCTAAATGTGATCCAGAAGACAGGCGGAAAAGATGGTGAAATTTGTAACTTTATAGTGAAATATCTTAATAAATAATGGTTTGTTCACATTTTCATTATGAAATTCGTGTTTTTCAGACGAAAATACGTAAGTACCAAAAAAAATTTTCAAAAAAAACCCCATCGCATGATAAGTGCACTTTTACCAATATCTCAACTTGAAAACACGTATGATATCTTCTGATGTCCATTTTACCCGTTCAGCAAGAATCTCAACATTCACAACTGGTCTGGTTCTGATCATTTTTCCAAACTTCCATACTTATGGTGTTTCTCTTGTTGTATTTGGTATTATTGATGGGATTCCTACCTTGAGTTTTCTCCTCTTTGGTGTGTGATTTAGCAATTCTGCTTGTGTCGTTCAAAATCCTCGGCATCGAAATGGGCAGAACATATTCGCCAAGTTTTGGTATTAAATGAATTAAAATTACGCCCACAAAACTGAATCCATTTCTCACGAATAGACTCATCTTGTGGAAATTAATGCAAACACAAACTAAATTCACTGGTCTTATTGCACTTGTACGAATTTTAACAAGAAGTAACTGAACAAATTATCATTTTTACATTTTCAAGTTCAAAATGGTTCAAATATTCGAAAATACTGACAACTGTCAACTCAATACATGCGCCGGCCAATCGCCGGCGTACATATCATACACGAAGTGTACGAAAGTGCTACACTTTTCGTGCAAAAGAAAGGGCCTATTACGTCATGAGTTACTCAAGGTTACTCGCGGGGTGCGATCGAGGCAACCTTCCTCTACAAAATAAGCATCAGTTCTACCAACCTTGAAAGCGGATAACTGTTCCTGCCATCTCCTGGCGAATGGGGCAAGGTTACATGTTTCCTTTTCATACCCAATGATAAAGCGATTTTTTATTGAAGAAAATTGGACAGAAAGTGAATTTGACCAAAGGTGGTTGTTATCCACTTATCATTCTCATGTCTTCAATTATCATTAGGTATAATGTTGGATTGATTGGTTGTGTTCAATCATGTGACCACAAATTATTTGATTTCATTGGATTTCTACTTAACCAAATAATTTTCACATTTATTACAGCACACCGATAAATCCACCGTTTTCTCGTATTGGTCCAGTTTTATACCAGATGATTGTAGATCTGGCCAACACAATCTAGTCATTTGTATATTGAAAGATCCCTCACCAAGAAGTAGAATGGCAGCTTTGAAAGTTCTGCTTTTGCTCTTGACCACTTCGAAATCATTTTTGTGCCAAGCTGAATCTAGGTGAGGCTTATTATTCCAGCTGCTCAATGAATTTCTTTATGGTTTGATTGACTGACTATCAATGAATTATTGAAGTGATGTCTAATAAAATGCAGGCTAATACTAGGCAACAAAAAGCATTTATCAGAATATAAAAAAATCTAAAATGATTTTTCAGAATGAAGATTTTTTTCCTTGTATATTTATTGAACTGCCTGTTGAATAAATCCCAAAAAAGTGTTGATTCAATATTTTCTTCCTGCTAGTCATCAGGTGTGAATCAGGGATAATTATTTATTCAAAAACTTTCCACTGTAAAGTTAGACACGTACCTATAGGACAGAAGTTTATTTTTGTTGTTAAATAATATACAGTCTTCGGAAAAAAAAATCGTTCACCCTGAAATATACAGGGTGTCCCATGAGTAATGGATCAAAAGAAGTGGGGTGGTAGGGGCGGGGGGTCATTTGTAGTCAAACTAATGGTTTATGTTGTTATCAAATTGTTCAAAAGTTATTCAATTTTTAAGAAATAAAGGTATATAGAAAACGAATCTGCTCCCGTTTTCAATATAAAAAATGGATATTTGAATAGCAATTTCTTATTTGTCTTGACACTATTCAGTTCTCAGTGATAATTGGTGACGTTAGCAATCAAATGAGTTACAGGATGTTTTCATTAATCAATCTTGAATTTATCATTTTCAGTATTTAACAAAAAAGCTGTTTTGAATAACCCCATATGTCAGCGGAAATACAAAAAATAGAAAAGAAAAATAGGCTGTATGTTATATTTCATACGTTGACCTTGATACTTTTCAGAATTGAATATTATTTTATCCTTCGATTATTAATTTATGCTAGGTTGTCGCACACACAAAATGCCTTATATAAATGCTAAGGGTGCACTCACCGGCTGTTGTTGTAATCGCCGCAGGGTAGGTAGCCTGTTACTGGACTGACATTCCAATCACCAACCCATAAGGAGAGTATGTTTCACAATTTCACTGGCGAAAGTACTTGAAATTAAATTGAATTTTGAATGGAAATTTCACAGCGTGAACCGGCTACAATGATTGTTAGCCATTCTTAATTGTCTCTGCTTGCGCATGACCATATCTCTTGGTGTCTTCACCTGCGTGCGTTCCCAAAAGCAAGGAAAGCACCTGTGTGTGATTTTAGCGCGGAAAATTGATTGACTGATGAAATATAAAAATATTATATAGGAAAATTCGTTTATGCGCGAACACCATATACCATTTCGGAATCGGTATTGAATGGGCAACTTTTTCTTATGATTTGGTTATCTTTGTGGAGTAGTTTTTAAAATCTGCCAGCGGCATTTGAAAATTGACATACATATTTCATTCGATGACAAAACTCAAAGAAAACAAAATTGTTCTCAGGTAATTGATAAGAAGTAATACATGTCATAAAATTAGTTCTGGGGAAAGGTGCATCCATGTGGATGAAATTTGCAAAAAAAAAATCACGAAAGTGACATAGTTTTATTGTAATTAATTTTTTTTATACAGATGAAAAAACAATAATAACTTTTGAACCATCAACAATTAGATAACCCCATAATATACGGTTAGTTTGATTGGAAATGACCCCAACTACCACCCCACCTCTTTTGATCCATAACTCATTGGACACCCTGTATATTCTATTACTGTTTGTATTATTGAATTGAATTTTGTTTTCTTTAGCCAATTTGTACATCGTATCATCAACAATAAGTTACTCTTCAATCTGTTTATCACTATCCAGTTGAAATAACGAATTTTAAGGATGGCTAAATCAACAGTTCATCAGTTATTAATTTCAATAATTCAGTGTGGCAGGTTTTCTTGCCAATGACTGTATTCTATATACAGGGTGTAAATTTGAAAACTTCCAATGCGAATATCTCGCGGAAGAAAAAAGTTAAAAAAACGTCGTTTGGCAAAAATGCTAAAGAGTTAAGGGGAACTAGAACCACCATATTTCGGTCAAGGGATGAGTCACCCCGTCGGCGCCACACACCCCAACTTTGAAATGTCAAATGGCACTACCTCTTTGTGATGCCTCAAATAAACAGTCTTAGTCGGTAGTATTCACCTGTACAAGACTTTTTTTCCACCCACTACAGGGTGGACGAAAAATATGAAGTCGAATAAAATAAAATGAATTGTGTTAAAAGGATATTTCAATTGATCAGATGTTCAAAATGCATTCCATTCTGTTGTAAGCAATAGTATAAAAAGTCTTGTACAGGTGAATACTACTGACTGAAACCGTTCATTTGAGGTATCACAAAAGAGGTAGTGCCATTTGACATTTCAAAGTTGGGGTGTGTCGCGCCGACGGGGTGACTCATCCCTTGACCGAAATATGGTGGTTCTAGTTCTCCTTAAGTCTTTAGCATTTGTGCCAAGCGGCGTTTTTCTAACTTTTTTATTTCGCGAGATATTCGCATTGAAAGTTTTCAAATTTACACCCTGTATGTATAACTGTCTATAACCTGTATTATTTCCAAAATGATTTATTTTTTGTATACTTTAGCCTGTTGTAGATACAGTTTGTGCATTTATAGGCAACTGTAAATTTTATCTACGTTCAATATCTTGTAACCCTACTCCAATATTTTTTCAATTCAATACCAGTGATGGTCACGTGACATATCGACGACGGAAGTGCAATATCTCGTTTTAATATTTTTCACGACTTCACATGGAACAGTAAAAAATTTAATACTCAACAATGCATATTAAAACACTTTAGCGGCCATGTCAGTCGTTCACGACTGACCAGAAATAATACACGTGAGGCCAGTTCATTCCTATCACCCAACTGCCCCAGGCCATGGTACAGATAGCGCGATCTAGCGCGATCATCGAAAAATGTTACGATATCCAAATTTCGTGAGGAAATATGTATGTCGAATCTCTCCTTGGTCTCCGAGTAGAAAAGATTAAAAAGGTGAGAATAGAACACCTGCTGATGAAACGGACAGGAGAAGGGACGAAAGATAGAAAAAATTGCATTGCCTGGTGCCTGCTACTCTAATTTGCTCAAGACAATGCCACGAAATGAAGCAAGGAAGAATGTGAAACGGGTCAAAACTTACTGTATATAATGGTTGCCCAAATAAACCCACTATGTGTTTTGATTGTCACATCGATGTACATAAGACATAAGAGAGTATTAGTTTTATAATAGTTAGGATCAATAAAGGTTGCACTACACAAATAATATACATACTTCTATTACCCCCTAATATACTACCATATTCTCCTCTGGGGCCGAATCGTTTATAGAGGTTTCAACTGGTGGGCCAAGGATTCATATCCATCATCTAAAATACTCAAACTTTCTCCATTTTTGCCTGACACGGCCTGAAGTCGAACCCTCACTGTCAGTCACATAAGACTGACGCAGCCCCATTGGAAAATTTCCTGTCAGTCATATTTGGCAGACATGGCTCAAATTAGGAAAACACTCGAATACCCTTTGGCCGTTAACGTGTTAATACACAATCTTGTTCAGAACTCGAACTCACTTTTTATAATAACTCTTATCAATCAATCACATGATAATAATAGGATAATCTGTCACATTAGTTCTCACATGCTTTCAGAAATGTTCAACAGATTTTTTTTTTTCTAGCTCACCAAGAGATGGCTCAATCTATTTCAAAGCCGTCCCATTTTGCTTGAGACTGCTAAGTTTCTCGGTTGTTATTAAAGATAGAACTTTGCGGTTCACGTTCCTGCCTATTTTTTTTTTCAATTGAAAACCGAGTGGAAAACAATGCATTTTATCAACTACGAAATAGCCACAATGCTCAAAGTGGAATGATATGTTAAATAAATGCAAAAAGCTCAAAGTCATTTCCACACAGTGTTCATAAACTGAACAACAATGGTAGATTTCGGGAGAAAAACAACTACTTCCCTGGCTAATGCCACGCAGGATATTGAATTACATCCTCCCGAAATCTATGCATCGACTCGTATAAACGAATACTGATACAAGTGATTCTTTCCTGAATGCCCTATTGATTTCGATTAAGCAGGCCGCTAGACAACCACAGACCGGTTTCGAGCTCTTTGACTCTCATCAGTGCAGTGTAGTCTCCAGCCAGCAGTCCTAAGACCGCCGACTCAGCGAAGCCTAGCCAAACAAAAATCAATTTGGCATTTTATCCACCCCGAGGCGTCTTTCATCGACAAAATGAAAGTAACGCCATCTGAGTAGAACAGAGGAAAGAATCACTCCAAAACTGAAATTCCCATACGGGAGTGGCTCGTTGCCCGACTGGCGTAATTTCAACTACGAAATAGCCACAATGCTCAAAGTGGAATGATATGTTAAATAAATGCAAAAAGCTCAAAGTCATTTCCACACAGTGTTCATAAACTGAACAACAATGGTAGATTTCGGGAGAAAAACAACTACTTCCCAAAGTGGAGCACTTTGAGCATTGTGGCTATTTCGTAGTTGAAATTACGCCAGTCGGGCAACCAGCCACTCCCGTATGGGAATTTCAGTTTTGGAGTGATTCTTTCCTCTGTTCTACTCAGATGGCGTTACTTTCATTTTGTCGATGAAAGACGCCTCGGGGTGGATAAAATGCCAAATTGATTTTTGTTTGGCTAGGCTTCGCTGAGTCGGCGGTCTTAGGACTGCTGGCTGGAGACTACACTGCACTGATGAGAGTCAAAGAGCTCGAAACCGGTCTGTGGTTGTCTAGCGGCCTGCTTAATCGAAATCAATAGGGCATTCAGGAAAGAATCACTTGTATCAGTATTCGTTTATACGAGTCGATGCATAGATATCGGGAGGATGTAATTCAATATCCTGCGTGGCATTAGCCAGGGAAGTAGTTGTTTTTCTCCCGAAATCTACCATTGTTGTTCAGTTTATGAACACTGTGTGGAAATGACTTTGAGCTTTTTGCATTTATTTAATGCATTTTATTATTTTACTGAATTCGTTATTTTTCCCCTCTGAAATAATATAAACACCTCGGTAAAT